AGGTCAAAGCCTGGAGTATTATACAAACTGAAGGATGAAGCGCATGTGAAGGGTTAACTACAGCGACGTTTGGAAGGTACCATAAGCGGCGTTGTCTTCACCACCATAAATGTCGCTACACAAAAGGCAGATAAGTGTGGGGTGAGTTACCATGGGACAGAAAATTTTTCTTGGGGGATTTGGTAACCATGACCCTACTAGCGACCATTAATGGTTGGTTCTGAGCGGGCAGTCTAGAGTTGGACCGTGGGGGGGGTGCTGGTCATTCTGTATCTATGATAAGATAACCAAGAGGGCTAAATGAAAGAATGTGCTTTTGCGAAGCCAGCGCTGGGGGATGAGATCCTAGAAGGACACTAATAGTTTTAATTGTTTTAGAACAACAGGGAAAAATGGAGTTCTTGTGAACGATAAGCCCATCCGTTACAGATAGGTACTGTGGTGTTGAATCGCGGTGCTGTCACGGTTGTATAGAAGCGTAGGCGATGTGCTTAGGGTTTAGAGTGTCGGCCAGATTAAAATATTGATAAGTGTTCGCAATACGGAGAGACGGAATTTTGCGACAACCATGCGGGAATATATGGTCAGGAATGTGACATTGACAACATCACAAGCAAGCTCACAGAAATCATCCAGCAAACCCTTTTAAAAAGGGTGTTAGAGCAGTATTTGAGTTGAAAGGGAGGTGAAAAATATCATCTGCCGTGGAAAGAACAACTAAGTTAGCTTAAAAAAAAAAAAAAAACAAAAAAGCTTGTTTGAACTAGCTGTTTAAGTATAGTTTTATATGGGGACCTAGGGAGGGCCATGGCCACGCTCCCTGTAACCTTATAAAAGTTGTTGACAAAATTTACCTGTATGAAGCGGGTATGCCAATTTTAGCCCCTTATAAATCCTTTTATTTTCTGTTGGTCTTTGTCTAGAGTGCCGTTGTGGGGGGGAAGGAGGATATGTGGTCACGCGAGGGAAAAACTCGGAATAGCCGTCGCCGGGGAGCCCCTCAAATAAGTGACAATGTCGTTTTCGAGGCTATTCGGCGTCGCAGGCTTTGCTAGTGGAAGAGGCTTTGCGCATAGAAATTCCAACAGGTGGTACAGAATGAAACGTCAGCTGATGTCCGCGGAGACGGCCTGTCAGAATTCTCGAAAGTTAAGCTTATCAAAGAAATAGCGTTCGAATAAATTATTTTTTCTCCATGTATCCCTTTCTATGAGAGAATATTAATAAAAGCGTAGATGTCTTACCGGACAATCTTACTACGGCTCAGAATAGTAGTAAGGGTACTTGAGCATGGTGCGACTTGACCTTTGATTCCTTTTTACGGTCTTCATATTTTCTAGCAGTCTGATGCTTATACTTTTAAATCATTTTCTTAACCGGCCGCATGCTACGATGTAAGGGAACAAAATGAATCGCTTAATCGGGGAAGGACAGGCAATGAGGGAACCATATGACTTTGTGTCAATAACATCATTCCACACTCATTCAGGGCCAGGCCAGTGGCTTAAAGCAACTTCCCACCAATCGTAATTGCCATCACCTGCAACTGATGTAGAATGAGTGAATTGTCACCAGGAATCCAACTTTCAGGCCGGCAAAACGCAAGATATCCAACCAGGTTTCGACGAAATTCTGTAAAGAAACAAGGTGATGTAATTAAATGAAAACCGCGTGAAAGTGAATCGAATTACAGATACAACTGTTTGGGTTTTAGAGACACGGTTGTGAGATGGGGTAAGGGCGTAATATCAGCAACGCTTTTTGTTAATTAAAGTGCTCTTGTACCCGCAGTAATTATGGTATGGGATAATGGTGTTAGGTAATAATTTGTAATTGCTACCGAGACTAACGCACATTAAAGGTATTCGCAAGTAATCTAAAAAGTGGCGGTAGACGTAAAATATAACTTAGATCTCAATACCCCCCCATCAATTAAATCTAATTATATGGGAGGCACAATAGGTACAACCTCCAAATGGACCAAGTTTAAAAGTTTCAACTGACAACATCGGATCAATTTTCAAGTACTGATCTGCAAAACTCGGTGATGCAAAGACATACGGGGGGACTAGCATCTTAATACTAGATGAATGCAGGGACCAAGGTAATCCACGTGATTTGTGGTTGGTAACGGAGTAAGCTGAACTCTTAGGGATGAGCTTTACCTGTCATGTCAAAGGTTATCATTTCACATTGCGTAGAGCAACCAGCGTTATTGGTCCAGGAACCATAGTTCCCAAGGTCCCGACCAGAATTAATCTCATAAACACATTAAGTGGACTAAGTTATTTACATCCAAATAGAGTGTAGGTATAGTGAATTACAATAATTGGAAAAAAAGAATTATAAGAACATAATCTGCCAAAACATATCGATTGTGTTTGTAGCTAACATCAATGAAAGATTATTTGCAGCATAATCTGCGGGAGTTAATAAGATGTGTTGTTGTGTGTGTTGTGTGTGTGTGTGTTGCCTTCTTTATCACCTAAGAAAGACGTGGGGGATGTGCGTGCTGCACACTCATTTATAGTGATATATACATCAAAAAAAGACAGGGGTGGGGGGTGATGAGTGTGGGGGGTGAGGTGGCATTAAGAAATCTTATGCGACCGTTATGTACCACAAAACTTAAGTTTACGTGGGGATTTATACGAGGGGGTTAATAAATAAAAAGTTTGACACTCTCACCAATGGCTAACAGATCCTTTAGGAATGAGTGAGGGAAGAAAATTAGACACGGCGGCGACCTCAATTTTATAATATATATATACTGTTGAATGTGTGGCGCGGCAGATTTAGTTGTGTGTGTGATGTATATAGCTAACTTCCTCCAAGTATCCGAATAAATTCACTAAAAGTCATCCCAATCGGCATAAATGTCGACCATACGCTTGGTATGCAGTCAGCTAAATGTGCTATTCCTAATAATTTTTTAACCCCCAATATTTTAGATTTAGCTAAAACACTCCTGCTTTTATAAAACTTTAATTTATAACAAAATCACCCCTACCACCCTGCCGCCACCTGTCGCCACCACCAAAAGTCGCCGAAAGTTGCCAGGAGTCACCGTGAGTAGCCCATCGTTTATGGCCATATTGATGGCCGAAAACAGCCATATCGGGCTAGATGTAGTTGAAAATGGCCAAATCTATTCTGGTCATATCGATGGATTTGGCCATTAATATCAGAAACTCCCAGCGACTCTCTATCATTTTTAGCAACTCCGGCGGCGGTCTGCATTGGTTGGCCTGTTGTCTACGGTGGTGGCTGGGTGGCGGAGGTAGTCTGTAATTTGTTTTAAATATAAGGACATTATTGTCCAAAAACTTAATTAAACAAGAGTAAAATTATAATGGTAGCTTAATGTAAATTGATTTTAAAACAAGGATATTATTGTCCAAAATTTTTATTAATAATGGATAGAAATGTAAGGTAATCTTACAATACCTAAGAAAATTAAAATAATCAAATTACCTCCAATATTATCAACAGTAACTACTATTGATATTAAAAGATTACCAGAATCTTATATTACTTGACAACCAAACGTAGTAATCAAAGTAATATAAGATGACATAACTCTAGTAATTTGATATTACCCCCAACCAAACGCCCCCTAAGAGTCATCCCAATCGGCATAAATGTTGATACATAAGCTTGGGTATGCAGCAGCTAAATGTCTATTTTTAAATGATTATTAATATTTCAAGTATGATATAGTTTAAAGGGGAAACGACTTACACCTACCCAAGGTTTGGCAAAACGATGATTGGTACCCAAAAGGTTTCAAAACGACAAACAGGTACCTTGCTAATGGTGAAAAGACTAGAATGCCCTTGAAGTTTGATATTTTAGTTTTTAAATATTAAAAAAAACCCCTAGGTTTGCTAATTTAACTAAATACCCCAATATATAAAAATTTTGTAAAATAACAAAAACACCCCCATCACCTACAGTGCCAGATTCTGACCACCACCGTCGGAATCTGGCCAGAAAATTGTGTTACACCACAGATTGGTCGGATATGGCGGGTAAGGCGTTAACATGGCCTTTTCCGGCCAGATCCACCACTGATATGGCTAGAAAAGGCCAGATCTACGGCCAGATCTGGCCGTCGATGGTAGCAATGTGGTCGTCGTTGTCTGTCAACGATGGCCAAGATTTGCCGTCATTGACAGTCAACAACGGCCATTTCTTTGGCCGTCACTTTTCGGCCAGATCTGGCCTTTTCACGTCAAATCTAGCCTTTTATAGCCAGATCCATTGTGGATCTGGCCGAAAAAGACCAGATAGGCGAATTACTAGCCATTTATGGTAGTGACGTAGACCGTTGTGACAGATTCTGGCTATCACCAACGGTGGCCGTCGGAATCTGACAAGTATGAGTGGGTGGGTGTTTTTGTTAATTTTTAAATTTTTTTCTAGAGGTATTTGATGAAATTAATAAACTTAAGGGGTCTAAACATAATTGAAAAATAGACTATCTAGTCTTTTCACTAACAAAAGGTACCTGTTTGTCGTTTTGAAACTTTTTGGATACCAAATGGTATTTTGCCAAACCTTGGGTAGGTATAACTCGTTTGGTCTAGTTTAAATCTATAATATAACCAATTTATTAACCCTTCTATATTTGACAGTTCATATTACTATGCTATATGGCTTTCCTTTATCTTTGACTATTCACCGATAATTTTGTCGTTTGCTCCTTCAACCTTAAAATTAAAAATGACACACAGAATTAAACATAATGTAATCTATATCTGTATATGAAAGTTTTGGAAAGTATATTACTATATTATTAATAGAAAGAAAGAACGAAATAAATAAAAAAAGATCATTTTTTAGTTGATTCATCTAAGTAAAAATATACTTTCATTTGCCCATAAACCATAAACATTAGCTCATAAACAAAGCCAGATCAAATTCAAAGAGAGAACTATTTAAGTAACACATTCGAGCTGGGAATCATGCATAATATATCAACTTATACATAAAATAAACTAAAAGTTATCCCAATCCGCATAAATGTCGATACATAAGCTAGGGTATGCGGCAGCCAAATTCGCCGAAAGAGCAACTTCATCTTCATAATTCGCTCCACCATTAACACACTCATCACCATTTTCCATTACAGTAGCACATGAAGATTCTGAATTCGAATTTGAATTCGCCGTCGCTTGTTTCCCGGTAAGCCGCTGCACGAACCCCATGAATTCTTCAGGTCTTACATGAATAATCTTGGGAGACACCAAATATATCACTACAGGAGATTTTACTCTTTGAACATTATTATTATTGTTCTTCTTCTTCATAATCTTTGAAGAGCTATTGCTCACCTTAAGAGCCGCAGGCCGCGGACCCTGAAGCTTTGAACTTCCTGCAGACATGTTCATCATCGATAAGACTGATTTTTCTGGAAAATTTTGAGAGTTTTGGAATGGAAGTGAAGAATCCCAGAAGGGTTTATATATATATATATATATAAGTAAACGAAATGAAGAGAGGGAGAAAGAAATGAGCGAACTTGGTCTAGGGTTGAATTGGTCTTGTGTTTTGTAATAGAATATTTATTTATTTTGCATGGATTGGATATGCCGGCATGCACTTTGTCAAGAAATTATAAAGTAATCTTTTTAAGGTTTTATTTTTTGTTGAACAATTAATCAAAAGCAGGATGAGACAAAGTCAGTGAGTGAGTCAAGTCAAAAGGATAGTAGATGAGTCTTTTTCTTCTTTCGTCTTACAACATTTACCAACTTCATTAAATTTTTGTGTATGACTTTACTCTTTGAAATTTTCGCATACAACAAAACCAATAACCCTCTTCTCATTCTTTATGATGTGTGTTTTATTTTTATTGAAAGTAGATATACTCATGTTTTCAATATATATGCTTGAGGATTAATAAGTGGAGATAGGTTTTGCTATTCAAAGTCATTATTGATTCATAGTAATTAATTTAGAGATTTAAAAGTTATTTATTATTAAAATATTTATTTATTATTTCATAAAACCATCTATCAAAAGAAAAAAATTTAAATAAAATAGCTTTGGCACGACCTTGTCCACATAAATATACTTATCATGGGTAGAAGAATAGAGAAAAATAAAATAAAAATTATTTTGGGTAATAATAACGTGCTAAATAGACAAAAGAAGGAGCAATTAATTAATATTAAGATATGTTTTTTCCTCTCATCAAACTCCATTTTGACTGCAGTTATTAACCTAGGACTGGTCAAATTTGGACAATCTTTAGCTAAACAATTAAATTATCAGTAAATTATATAATGACCATTACCAATTACTTGCAACTTAAACCAAAAATATATTTGATGAAATCCTAATGATCTAGAAACAATACAAAACAATTAGTTAAGGTGTATGTAAATTGTCCCGAATATCTTGGTTACCAAACAAAAAAAAAATACCAGACCTGATATCTAGATTTTATTTATGAGTAACTCTCCTCTTTTTCTTATTAATTTTTTTTTTTTATGATGGGAAATGTCCAAACTAACTTGTGTACATCTCAATTAATCTCATGAGATCCTAAAGTTAAGAATTGGGTAAGCCTTCAGTGATCACCCCTATTAACAATCGAGATGGATCAAATTCAAGACCTATTAAGTAATACACCTAAAAATTCTAGATGATCGTTTCACCACCTATGATGGTTTTTTAATATTATTTTCCTCAAAGTCAATAAAGATAATGAAACAAAGCTTGATGGCTAGGTCTAGGTGAGTAATTTTTCTGCTCAATAGCCAATAAATTCGAACGAGATTTAAGTAACATGGCCATACAATGTCTCTTTAGAAGTCAAAGTCCAAAATTTACAGGGACAATAAACAAACAGGAAAAGACAAAGGCAAAATTTCTTCAACCATATAAACACTCTTAAAAGTCAAAATCTAAAACGACTTTTGGGGATGGATTTGAAGGTTAATACATAGTTTATATTTTATTAACATTGTTGAGATTAATTGCATTTAAAATAAAGTTTCAGTGTTTTAATACTACTTTGTTCAAGAAAATTATATGCATTTTACGTAGCCTATATTGTATATTACTTCTTCCTTATCAGCAACATTTAAAGAATATCCAGAAGGTTACCAATTTAAATTTATAAAATTATAATTTATACTATAAAAGGAATAATTAGATTTATAGTTTTTTACTTGTGATCGGGTCAATTTTGACTTACGATTTGTGCTTTTAATTATATTATATATATATGTGTGTGTAAAATAAGGATTTGGATCTTTTAAAAGAGAGAGAGTTACATACTATAATCAATTTAAGAAATTATTTAATTTAATTTGACTTATTCAAACGCTCTCGTAAGATTATTACATTAGACTAGCGAAAAATATGTTTTGAGAGTTAAAAATAAAATATGACTTCTGAGTAGACCTGGCAAACGGGCAAGTACGAACCAAGTAAAAATGGATACGAGTCAAATGGGTCGAGATGTAAACGGGTAAGGGAATACAAAACCCATACTTGATCATGCAGATACGGGTGGACCCGTAGATCATCTGTTTCCCAAATCTATTTTTACTTTTAAAAGAAAATATCATTTGATAGATAATATAATAAAGGTCATTTGCGTCATCTTAAAACAGGAAGAAATAAGAAAATATCATCGAATATCTATTGATATTATGATATCTTTTCATTGATCACCGATCAATCACATTAATGATATGATTACCTAATCGAAGCCACCAGTAAAGACAGCTTTCACACTAAAGACAACGACTAGGCATTAAACTGACAATAAACAAAGATAATGACTAACAGAGTTAATCCCTTTTTTTATGTCAACAATGCAATTGATTTGGTAACATCAAATCTAAACCCAATTAAAAACGTACGAGTATTATTCACATAGGTCCTAAATATATTAACCCGTAACACAAAGTTACCTGGGTACAAATGGACCGCAGGTGCAATACCCTTTTTGCCAAGTTACATGTGAGATTGTTATTAATTTTAAAAATCATATAGTAGTGACAAGATATAAAATTATTTATTACATAATTTAGACATAGTAATAGAATAAAATTGGGAGAGTGTCTCGTATATGTTCTAAAATAGGAGGGGGATGGATATTTATTTATATCTGACTTTGGTTTTAGAGTGATTTTATGCTGATGTTATTTAAATCCTGTTGAACTCTTTTAAAATTCATATGAAAAAAAATAAAAAAGAAATAATTTTTAAATCTATAATAATTAATCCTAAATAACCTTTTTCGATATTTGTAATTCATAAAATATAAAAAAATATGATATCTTAATAAGAAAAAATATATATATAATCCTTATTGATGGTGTAAGAGATAGAAAACACATTTTTAGAATTATAATATCTCTTATATCCTTTTTGGTAATTTGACTAATTTCCATATAAAATAATATTTAATTTTAAAACAATCAATAATGGCTCTCATGGAGGTTTACTGGGCCTGAAGTAACCTACTTTGGGTTTTACACAATAAGCCTTTAATGGGCTGAATAGGCCCAAAAGAGTTCCATAAGTTCCAAATGGGTGTCACATTTAACGGACAGTAACGGCGTCAATACAAAGGAGGGAAACTAATTTTTAAAAATTAAAAACTCAAATTTCACGCTATTTTACCACAATTTCTCGACACATTTGACACACTCTCTCTCTCATGGCGATTCGCCCTAATTCTAATCAATCGAAATCCATCCGACCTAGCTTTCGAAATTAGATTGGGGCTCACTGTGATTTTCTCGCTCTTTTCTCGATCTTTTTTCTCGGGAAGTGCGTTTTTTGCCGAGGTAACGCATTTCCTATCTATTCTACTAGTGTTCTAATTACTTATAGATTAATTAGACTTTGAATCATCTCTTTTAAGTGAGATTATGTCTGTGTCTCTTGTATTAGACTTTGTAAATATTAATTAGGTTAGTACAGTTAGTCTTTGAAGACGTTGGAATGTGTATTTCTGTTTTGGTGATTCTATTGGAAGAAAATAGTTGTTGGAAATGTAATTTTAGGATTTGTTGTTCGATTGAAAGGATCAAGGGTTTGACTGAATCGATATCTTGAGTTATATGTATAATACACACTCACAAACCACAGATTTTAACCAAATCAAACACAATCACACAAGATCAAGAACACCACAATTTTACCGTGGTTCACCTTTCCAAGATTGGGAAGGCTACGTCACGTTGAGCTCCGGAAAGATCGAAGCTCACTGCACTATCAGAAAAGTATTTTACAGATACAGACGCAAGATCGAAAGATCCAATCAAACCGAAATCACCCTCTCTGGTAACTAATAGCCCTGGAACCTATACACTTGTAATCCCAGCCAACAGAGAGACACAACCCCTCTAACAGAATGACCAATCACTCACTCAATCAGTTACACAGACCCAAGATTTCACAATAAGGATGAACCCTAGCAGAGCACAAAACCTAAAACAGTTTAATCGAATTTTCAGACCCATAACAAAAGAGAGAAAGTTCACTTATATACCGTTGACCACTATGGACTAATCACACCCGTTGGATCTCTCAAAACTGATGGTCCAGATTCATGCTTGAAACGACAAGCTGTTGGTTAAGTGATGCGGCACGTTTTGGTCTCACATTTACAATCTCCACCTTGAAGCATAATAACTCACTCTCTTACTGACTTCCCTTATAGTGCAGTTTGCCTCAACTTATTCCCTCATAGCTCTGGTGATGCTTTGGTTATTTCAAGAACAGCAATCATGCAGTGCTTGAACTTGCTGGACTGACAATTTTGGTTCCCATATCTGCTGGATTCTGTTCAGTGGGAACTTCTTTAACTCAATCTGTCCTCTGGTAATTAGGTCTCTGATGAAGGTGAAATCTCACGTCCACATGTTCGTTCTCTCATGGTAGATGGGATTTTTACTTAACAGTATGGCACTTTGACTGTCTGAGAAGATAGTCACCTTGCTGCAGTCAATTCAGATTCTGCCATAATCCTTGCATCCATACAGCCTCCTTGAAGCCATCTGCCAGTGCCACATACTCTGCTTCAGTTGTTGACAGGGCACTAGAGGCTGTAGTTGTGACTTCCAGCTGATGCAGTTTCCTCCAAGGTGTAGCGTAGGTTGTGGTTGACTTTCTACTATCCCTGTCACCTGCAAAGTCTGAATCCACAAACCCCACAAGATCAAGTGTAGTTCCTTTTACAAATTCTAGACCTATAAATGCCGTACAGTTTATATATCTGAGTACCCATTTCAATGCAGTCCAGTGATCACTTCCTGGATTTGACATGAACTCTCAGTAAAGAATGCAAACGCTAAATCTGGTCTGGTGCTAATCATTGCATACATCACAGACCCTATCACATTTGAGTAGGGGACATCCCCATTTT